CAGCTAACTCTGCCTGCAGTCAAAGCAGAGGGAGGACAGACTCCACTCTGTTTCTCAACTAAACATGAGTCACACATCATGCAAAACATCCACCGATTCCATCCTGGATAACCAGATGTAAATATCATCTAAATAGAATTAACATAATGACTATGTGTTGTTTTTTTGGAAACTGCTGCACTAAAATCAATCCCTCCATGTAATTGCTTCACAAATAGCCTCACCCACTGTATGTGCCTCTGCTATTTGTTGTTTTAATTTGCTGATAGAAAACGTAGTTTAGGTAAAATATTATTGAATATGTTACATTATTTTATGGAGTAGATTTTTTTAAGTTTTAAGCATATTTTGCTATTCCTCTCTGCTATAACATACAAAATTATTTCTATCCAATATATAGCACTTTTCTGAAGTTATGTTATTTTATTTACATTAAATACACATTTGGTACTTATTTTGTGTCCAATCCTTAACCCTTTAAGCCTGATCCAAGAATAAAACAAAACAGAAAATTACTTTTTTTTGGTTTGAAGTCCTTATTTGGCCTTTTAACAAAATATGTAAAAAGAAAAAACAGAAATACATTTTTGATATTAATAATTTATTACTATGCGATAAGTCAAGATTATTTTTTGTGTAGTCTTCTACTGGCTGTTATCAGGTATATCTGATTGTGTACAATAGGATTTTGAGAAAAGTTTTTACCATTAAATTATGCAAAAGGTGTCATTTCAGACACCGTATGTATCAAATATGATACATTTGGCATTACAGGGTTAAAGGTGATGGATACAGTTTTAACCCCTGACCAGGAAGTGGTGCACTCATGGTTGCGCGGTCACTAACCTTCGGTTTACGACGTCAGTAATCCAGGTGATAGTCATTCCAAAAAACTTAAAAACAATCCACTGGACTTTGTTTCCAATGTGAAGACGTTTCTCTTCCCATCCAGGAAGCTTTTTCAACTCAAAAATGTCAGAAATAGCGTGGCGTTCCAACAAATCCTTGTTTTGGTTTAGAAAATATGCAAATTGAAACAGACGAAGTGGTCCACCCCTTTAGAATGGGGGTCGTTTGCCAGCCTGCATTGCCCCATACCTGTCTATGTCTCTGACAGGGGGGTCGTTTAGGACTTTTCAAGTGCGGTGTTCCCAAAGAAACGCGTGGAGGTGAACTACGTACGCCTGTCCTTGTAGCACAGGATCCAAACAGATGCAGAAATCCAGTAAAGTCACCTCACCGGCTTCAGCCGAGGTTATAAAAACAACCGAAAAATTCAAAGTACCAAAGAACTAACATGTCCAATCATCTTGGCCTTCATTTCTGAAACCTGTTCCACCTCATCCAGACTTTATACAGGAAGGAGTAACTCTAATGTAATGCTTTTTAATGCTCTTGTAAAGCTCTCTCTTAGAAATCATTTTAATGCTATCAGCAAGTACCCATGATTCTCATATATAAATCCTTTTTCATCTTTACGGTCGACAGGCTGCAGCTACGTCCTGAATTCCTCGTTTTCCAGCCACTTTTGTTGAAATTAGCATTTTCCCCCATTCTCGAGTTTCTTTTCCGAACATACAGCTTAACGATCAACCGGAAGCAGTTCCGCGCAAATATATTGCGATATAATATATCTGACAAACTTGTTTTTGTATAAACATGTCTTGTGATTTTTTTTAAATAAAGCATAATCACATTTAATGAATTTCAATGCCAATTAAGGCCTTAAAACCAGAGGTAGGGTTCCCAATGGAATGGGTTTTAAAAGAAGTGAAAAGGAAAACCTCACTCTAATAGCCCTACAGTTTGGCACCATAAATCAGTACTAGATTGAATTCATCCTGAAACTAAAGCTTGAGTTTTTGTTTAAAAAATAATCTGAATCTGGAGAGACGGCTCTGTCTGAACCGGTATAAACTCAGGTATAAAATAATTCATATTTCAGATCCTTAGTCAGTTGACTTAAGGGTCCCCTCCCCCTGGCAGGTGTCGTCTTGGATTTGTGGTAGTTTTTTTTTCTGGCAGAGCCCCATCATTAGCAGATGGTCATAATTACTAATATGCAGAAAACAGCAGTAGAGCTTGGAGGGAGACGCCAGAAATGACTATGGTGCCTCCAGGAAACCAAGAAACTCCTCAATCCACGTGGTTCTTTAAAGCTACTAGGCAGACTTTGCTGTAAAAATCTTCACGATATATAAATATATATATATAGTATTCAGGAGTAAAAGGAAGGAACCTGTGCAGTGAAGCCCCAACATGTTTAATCAATTATATTCAAAACAAAAACCACAAAATTAGCGATATAAAGTCCTCTTTTGACCTATTAAAAGCTTCTGAGCACAAAGAAAAGAAACATGTCAGGAGCGGATCTACGAAATAAGGAAAACCAAACCAAAAACACTCATATTGTTCTAACTCCTTATGAAAAAAAGCAGCGATCCACTAAAGGAAAAGCCTGAAGTAGCTGCAGAGGTCCGTGACCATGAGGTCCGTGACCACAGGCCGTTTACTCCATAAAACTGAGGCTGATGAAAGCCACAGATGTGTTAAGATAGGATAAAAACATCCCAACAACAAAACCAAAACCTAAGACCAGGACCAAACTTTCCCCTCCAGTCGGACAGCGACGCAACAGCGAGGAGGTCTAAAGGGAGGCCTGTAAATAGGATAGAGTGGTCTAGTCAAAGTCCAGACCTCTGTTCAATTGGAAATCTGCAGTTAGACTTGAAGATCCTCTTTGAGAAGCGTAAAGCCTCCCAACATGATAAAAGAATTTTAAAGCTGATTTTCATTTTCTGAAAACTCTTAATTTGAAAGGTTAAAAAGCTAAACTAAAAAGGCAGATGTGAGGATTGTAGATTCTGGTACATAAACAATCAGCAGGGAGCCTCACCTTCCTACACCTGAGGGAGGAGCAGCTGCTCAGCTTCAGACCGCAGTCAGCAAAACCAGGCAGCAATTTAAGGATTTAAAGGTCTGGATTCACTTGAACATAATCAATATTTATTTAGTTTAGAGACAAAAGTCTGTCTGATCAGCAACAACATTCAGTCTGCAGTGACTCCAGCTACCTAAATATAAATGATCGATTCTTCTTGTTTTCCTCTCTATGTTTTGTACTCAGCTGACTTTTCATGCTGTCTCTAAAGGAATGAAAGATTTTTTCCAAGCACTAAGCTCACTTAGCTGATTGCTCCTTCCTGTGTTTCCAAAAAGGCCAAAGTAAATAACCCAGTCCTTCTTTTCACTGTAGACAAGCCATGATCTGCTTATCTGTTCTCCATTTTTCATTTGGATGAAATAATAGCTGCATGAATCATGACAGCAGACAAGATAGAGGAGAGCAGGAGGCGGGGTTACCAATCTACTCGCTCTGGAGAGCAGAGTTCGCTGCTTTTAGATGTTGTCTCCAAAGTCTCCAGTAGCAGAAAAAAGTCGCTAGATTTGGCGCTAGGAGCTTTTTAGAAATCAAAGTGCTAGAGGGGTCTGAAAAGTGGCTAAATGCCCCCAGGAACTTGGGGCCCTAGGCAACTGCCTATTGGTAACCCCAGGTTCTGCTGGAGGTTTCTTCCTGTTCAAAGGGAGTTTTTCCTCTCCACTGTCGCTACAAGCATGCTTAGTGTGAGGGATTGCTGAAGAGTCAATGAGTCGATGCAATCAGCTGGTTTTCCTTAGATAGAAAACTTTGAATCAATCTGACTAGATGATCTGGTGAACTATAAAAGGACCTGAGATGACATGATGTGAATTGGCGCTATAGAAATAAACTGAATTTAATTTAATTAAAAAAATAAAAATAAATCTGAGTGCACAAACTCTATTAGGTTGTTTTTATTTTTGTTTTTGCACTTGCTTTAAGGAGGAAGAGGAGCTCCTTTTGGTTTTTCCTCCACAATATTAGCTTTTCTTTTACTTTAAAAGAGACCAAACTGTCCTTAAAACCAAACTACGTGGTTATAAAGCCCAGCTTCTGTGTTTATAAGGCCTGTCAGCCATAAAGCTTCCTTAGCAAACTTTCAAACTGAAGGAAACCTGCATGCTAGCTGGAGCTGGGTTTACTTCATGCTCCACGATCACATTAATATTAATATATCTGTAGTTAACAGCGGTTAACTGGCTGAAATAAAATACAGCAAGGATATGTTGGTGTGAAACGTACGGAAGAGGATTAGGGCCACTGAAGAAATAAGAAAAAACTTAAATGATTTTTAAATATTCTTTCAGTTTAATATGGGGGGAAAAAAATCTGAATTCTGACCTTAATCTCAAAATTCTGACTTTAAACTCAGAAGAGCAGAAGGTGATTAAAATAAGAGAGCTAGTTTAGTCTTTAAAACAGACATGTATACGGCCTGATGCTAACATGTTTGTTAGCTGTCTGAACTCTGAGAAATAAAAGTCTGAACTCTGAGAAATAAAAGTCTGAACTCTGAGAAATAAAAGTCTGAACTCTGAGAAATAAAAGTCTGAACTCTGAGAAATAAAAGTCTGAACTCTGAGAAATAAAAGTCTGAACTCTGAGAAATAAAAGTCTGAACTCTGAGAAATAAAAGTCTGAACTCTGAGAAATAAAAGTCTGAACTCTGAGAAATAAAAGTCTGAACTCTGAGATTAAAGTCTGAACTCTGAGAAATAAAAGTCTGAACTCTGAGATTAAAGTCTGAATTCTGAGATTAAAGTCTGAACTCTGAGATTAAAGTCTGAACTCTGAGATTAAAGTCTGAATTCTGACTTTTTTCTCACATGCTGAAATAATGTGTAAAAATCAGTAAACTGTATTTTTTCATTGGCCCTAATGTTCTTCCGTAGAAAGGACAGGAATTGAAACAGCAGAGTTTTTATTGTGTAACGCAGAGGGAGGATGTTCGCTCCCCGTTAGAAGAAAAGAAGCAGGTGGCGATAAAACAAAAGACGCTTCTCATTAGAAGAGCGAGCTAAAAAAAGAAAGAAAGAAGATAAATATTTCTAGGAATAAAGGGAGTTAGAAGCCAACCGACCTGCGTGCGTAATGTCGGACAGGTCGTAGTTCCTGGCGCTGCGGGGAAACTCCTTGAGCTTTCGGTTGGAAAGGTTGAGAGCCCCGCTGGCTGCAGCCTCCTCCAGAGCCTTCTCCACGCTCCGGCTGGCCGCTACTGTGGCCGGCAGCTGGGCTCCATCCCCGGCAGCCATCAAACGGACGGGTCTGCCTCCTCTGCTACTTAGTTTGCCCCGCTCTCATACCCCGCGGGGCCCGTGGAAAAAACAACTAAATCCACAGCGAGTCACTTTCGCCTCAAACTTCTTTAAAAAAGTGGAAGAAACTGAAGCTGGATGTCGACGTCAGTGATTCTCACAAACGGGGAGCAGCCGCGAGCTAGAGAGGCGCGAGCTGTCAATCTAACAGGAAGTAGCGTCAAGCTAGAAACGCTGGACAATAACCGGCCTCCGTCATTATCCGCCTCTTCAAAATAAAAGCCCGATGAACACTAACATGACTTATTATCGTCCTAGTTCCAAAAAAATTAAAATCAATCCACTGGACTTGGTTTCCCAGTTTGAAGACGTTTCCCTTCCCATACAGGAAGCTTTTTTTTTTTTTTTTATTCAAAATGTGATTTTTTTTTTTTTTTTTTTGTTGAGTTTTTGAAAATTCAAAATTTTAATTTATTTGTGTTTTATGAGTTTGGCTGAAATAATCAAAGGAGAAAAATAAAGTTCCAAATGAAGAAAAAGGTGCATGGATATTTACAGTATATAGAATGCACCCACATATGACAACTTTTTTATTTTTATAGTAGGATTATTATACAGGGTTATTGCACAGCGTGTTTACATGGGTATTTATATAGATGGATATTTAAATATATAGTTATTGCACTGGATATCAAATAGTAATTGCATATTATACATTGCAAAAAAGTTATTTAGTTATAGCTTCATATTAAATATTTAGTTCCAATCTAAACATTTATTAAATATAATATAAATTAAATATACATTTGTCCAAACTAAATCTTTAGCATTTAAATTTCATATTTAGCTCTGAATTCAATGACATATATATCAATTTGAATAAATCAGCTAAATTAAATCAATTCAATTAGTTATTGGATCATTCAATGAATCCAATCACTAAATATTAAAAGCTTGTGAAAAAAACATTTAAACTTTGCTAAGAGTTTAGTTTTAACGCTCAATATATTGCGTGATGATTAAATATTTAATTAACAATTTGAATATTAGATTTTTAAATGAGGAAATCTAACTTAATAATTTGACCAGATAAATTTACAAACAGTCCCATAATTTGATTATAGTGGTTGGAAATAAGAAAATGCTGATTTATATCTTTACTGCCTAAAGTGAATCAACAACAGGTGTTGTTTTCTTGAAATGAATGCATTTGAATCTCATGTTAGTATGCAAGTAAAACTAATCAGCCAATGTAATAAATTGTTGATCACCTTGTAAATTGTAAATGTACATCAGCTTTGAGAACTGTGATGAAATAATTGAGTGCAGTGAGACAAATAACAAGATGGTCAAGTTGTGAAAGGGAGTTAGTAAAATAAAGTTATGGGGTTTACTTACGTATTTACGGAAGAAGATTAGGGCCACTTGGGAAAAAAAATTAAAATAGATGTATAAAAAAATAAAATAACAGATTTTTTTATTTTAGTTTGGTTTAATGTGGAAAAAAGTCAGAATTCTGAGAAAAAACTGAATTCAGAGAAAAAAAATTAGAAAACAAATAATTCTGAGGAAAAAAATCTGAATTCTTAGAAAAAAAGTCAAAATTTTTTAATTTTCCTCAAAATTCTGACTTTTATCTCAGAATTCAGATTTTTTTTCCCCCATATTAATCAAATAAAAAGAAAAATCAATTAACTGGTTATCAGTTTTTTTTTTTTTTTTTTTCCCTCTCGCCTTAATCCTCTTATGTATATAATTTTTCCTAATTCAAGTTTAATAAATAAAAGTGTGAGATCTGTTGTGTGTGTTTTTTTTTTTTTTTTTTTTTTATTGAGGTTAGATATTTTTTTAAAAACCTAATAATAGCAGTCATTGAGGGGGCAGTTTGTTTTCCCCACCTACTGCACTCATCCTCTTTTCAGTGAAAATATGTTCCTGAATGGAACGTAACCTTTCTATATTTTTCTCTTGCTTAATCTGATCTTATTTTGAAAGGCCTCACCGGAACATGAGCGTCTCCGTTAGCTAAGTTTGACTCGTGTGTTTGGGAAGGGCGCAGCCTGCGCGAGGGTCCGAGGAGCGGTGGGCGTGGCTGCAGTTGAAGCTTTCTGAATGACACGGGGATGTGGGCGGGGCTTATGCTGATTTCAACGCTGTAGTTTTCCTTTTTAACTCTATTCTAAAGCTATAAACAGCTCAGGAAGCAGAGCTGGACATCAGCAGGTAGAAATGAGAAGTGAGGCGCGTGTCCATCGGTTTCAAGTGCGGCTGAACCCCCGCGTGTTTACGGCCTGTAAATGTGGAAATGCAGCGTCAGCAGGAATGCATTGTCTTCCAGGTCTCCCAGGAGGTTTATACCCCTATTCTTATTCCTCTATTTATCAAGGAACAGACGACTTCACACACACACATAGACCCCCCCATACCCCAACACACACATAGACCAGGACCCCCCCCCCCCACACACACCCAAACATACTCGTTCTACTATATATAGTGAGGACCGTGTGTTGACTCCCATTGACTTCCATTGATTTTCAGTCATTTTCAACCCTTTCTCTGCCCTGACCCTAACCCAAGTGACACTTTAGCCCTTAACCAAACCATTAGCAAATAGCTTGTGAGGACCAGCAAAATGTCCTCACTTTGCAACAACTGGTCCTCAATCTGATGGTGAACCTGAAAAAATGGTCCTCACTCTGTGTCTATACAGGTGCACACACACACACACTGATGGGTTTTTTTTTCTGAACATAATGCCTTCTGTAGCTTCCCATCATCAGCATTTCAACATAAAACATAATAAGAAAACATCTGTTTTACATTTTAACCAAATTTGCTCACTTCTTTGTACAAACCAATAGGATTTGAGGTTTCACCGTTTACCTAAAAGTCAGTCACTAACTGCAGTGTTTTCTATTTTTTAAGTCATTCAACTACACTGAAAAAAATAATGCAACCGCTTTTGGCATATTTATTTACTCTAACACAACTCCTGTTAACATGAAATAATTGTATTAAAGTAACTAAATATTTATTTTTTTCATTTATTTTTATTTATTTTTTTCAGTGTACAATGTAGGAATAATTTTAAAAAAGGTAGACATTTGAACTATTAAATTACCATTTTTGCCTCAAAATTTTAATAATCATTTATGCTGCATTTAGAATTGGAAATTTTCTTTCTTATTTTAAGTGCAAATATTTCAATGTTTTTCTAATCCTCTTCCATACTACAATCTCTTTCCTCACTGTAAAAAAAAAGAAAAAAGTGAGAATTTTGAGAAAAGTCAGAATTCTGATTTTTTTCCCCATATCATACTGAAATAAAATGTAAAAATCAGGTAATTTCTTTTTTTTTTGTTTGGCCCTAATTCTCTTCCGTACTATGATCTCCTTCATCATGGTCAGAATTCTGATATTAAAGTCAGAATTCTGACTTTTTTCTTGTGTTATCCTGAAATAAAATGTAAAAATCAGTTACCTTTTTTATTTTTTCGGTGGCCCTAACCCTTTTTCGTACATTTTTAACAGAAGTACTGGTAACTGAAGTTATTGAAGCCCCTGCCTAACCTGTCAAATGCAATGGAGCATTTTTCTCTGTCGTTTAGTTGTTTAATCCTCCCATAAAGACTCATTGACTCGAAGGCAATCCCTGCTGACTGCACTGATATAAATAATCTGCTTGATTTACTTAAAAAATATAATGAATTTTTTTGCATAATTTTATTATGTAGATCCAACAACACCAGTCTTTTTAGAAATTACTTATTTTTCCTGTTTGCCAAAATAAAATTTTCACATAAAGTTAACTTAATTTAAGCATTGCTGTAGTCATTTTTGTGTGTGTGGGATCTACATAACTTTAAGAGTTCCAAATATGTACTTTTGTTTAAATCCAACTTAATTTTTAAATTTCCATATTACAAATTATAAGTGGGATCTACTTTGTTTTAAAACATTTGTTAGTGTATTTTAAAGTTGCATGTACTCAAATTTTCTAATTAGCAACTGAATATTTCTATTGAAAGTAAACATGCAAATAGTTATTTTTTTCACTATTTACTAGTTTCAGGCAAACAGAATGCACGTAGAATGTGCTCATCAAATATGGAAATGTAGTTATAACATTACACAAAGCTGAAAGTTTGGCCAAGTGATATTAAAAACTAACGAGTATAATAATATATATACACATGAGTGATTTTGTACAATAGAAAATTGTGCTAGTGGTGCTACAGGAAAGCTCATTAAGTGAAACTTGACAGGCTTTATTGTCGTCAGAATTATGGTTACAAAAAGGACTTTTCAATAACTACACAAACATTTACATAATATTTTCTACACAATTCTGTTAATACAGTCCTGTAAAGTAACACACTCGAATACTTTAAGGAACAAGGTGCTTTTTGGGAATTTAGGTTATTCACCGTATCCCTCACAGTTAAAGAAATTCCTACATACACTATTTTCATCTCCGTGTGTAAGGAACTCTGATGCACTGACTGCTAGCCTAGCTTAGCACAAAGACTAGGAGCAAATGGCTCCAGTTAGCATACTGTACTCAATAAGTGAGAAAAAATAACACCAACATTTTCCTATAAATATGTTGGGATTTGTATAGTCACAGTGTGTACAAACAACAAGGTCATATGAGACAGAGGCATCTTCTAACCGTTTACATGCTGGGAACTATATTGTCAGAAGGCTTTGTTTCCTTCAAATGCTCATTAACAAACTCACAAACATTTTCCCCATAACAAAATGCAAGAGTGCAACTAGAAAGTCAATTCGAAGAACCGGAGAAATTTAACTGCAAAACTTTCAGAGTGGATATAACTCAAACCCTCTGACATCAACAATGCTTATATCGTTTTCAGGCCAGTAAGCTAATCTTTAGATCGTGGACTTTGGAGGACATGTTTTTGGTAACATCCTCCAGCTCCAGAAAGATCTTCTGAAATACTTCAAATGTGTATTTCAGTTTCTTCGGATGACTAAGTTCCAAGGCATAAATAAGGCCCATAAGGTAGGTGCAAGCATGTGCTACACTGGAAATACCAAAAAGGACCTCTGCTCCCTCGATGGCAATTCCAGCTTGCTTCTCCAGACCTCCATCTTTGGCTTTGCTGACAACAAAAATGTTGAGGACAAATGTAGTGATGGCTTCTTGTATGGCTGCAGAATCGTCGTCACCACAAACCTGTGAAATATATCAAAGAGAATTTAATCTACTATATATTTGCTATGAACAGAAATCTGGGTGGCATTACGTGGTTTCTTTGCTAGTTTTGATCCATATACTTGTGTACAATTTGTGCCCAAACAGCACTGGTAGGATGTGCTGTGTGTTGTTTATATTTGGGTGTGAATACGTGGGTTGCTGTAGTAGTTTTAGCTGTGCTGGGATTTAACCCAATTTTTGTGTAGATCATAGGTCATAGTCAACCAATAGTCATGTTCATGAGTATGTATGCATATATATAAGTGTGCTGTAAAACTTTATATATAAATCAAGAAATCCATTTGAAAATCTTTCAGTATCAATACAAATACAGAAATATAATTTCTTTACCCGTTAGTCCTCTGATCACAGTTTCTCTTCTGGACTCGATGCTGTTGTCCTACAAAAATATAAAATATGAGATCATCTAAAAAGGTTTGTTCATCCGTTCATCTTCAGAACACAAATTAAGATTTTTTTTTAATGAAATCTGAAAGCTGTCTCGCTCCTTTACATACAGCAACGTCATGACCCCTTTCAAGGCCCAAAAAGAAATTAAAGACATAGTTAATGTGACTACAGTGGCTCAACCTTAATGTGATGAATTTGTGCAAAAAAAACGCATAAAAACAATGACTATTTTTAACAACTTCTGTGTCAGTCTCCTACGCTGTTTATGTAGTAAACAGAGAGTTAAGCCTAAACGCCGGCTCACTACTGGCCGACACTTAAGCAAAATGATGCATGCATATGGAGCTGACGCAGGAGGTAGCCAACCAGAGGTCAATACTGAGCTGGCATTTTGAAGTAGAACATGGAAAGGCAAAGCTGTGTTTATTAAGTTAACATAATGTGAAGCTGATATGTAAAAGATTATTCCTTTTTGTGGGTGTTTTGTGTGTACAAAGTATTATTGTTGCTTCATGGCATTAACGTTGAGACGCTGGAGTCACATGGACTATTTTAACAATGACTTTCACACCTTTCTAGACCTTGAAAGTTACAATGGTGTTGCAGTCAAAAGGGGGGTCAGAAAGCTCTTACATATCATCAAATATGTTAATTTGTGTTCCGAAGATTAACTTAAGGATCTTAATAGTCTTACGGTTTTGGAACCACATGAGGGTAAGATATTAAGGACAAATTCCTCCTCGATCTGAGAAAGACAAAAGGAGAGATGCAGAAAGATTTCACAAAATTTATTCAGAAAATACATATTTTAGAAAAGAATTAGAAACACAGGGAAAGAGAAACAATACCAAGTAGAAATGTTACCAAGTATAATTGTATTCTAATAACTCTAGAAATACAATTAGAACGACATTTAAGTGGTCTGATGTTTGGAAAGGGATGCTGCACCCTATAAGAGTTAATTTAAGTGCATGGTTTGAGTTTAGTGAAGTTAGGAGTTTAGTTTCAACAAATTCCACACTACTACAACCTTGCCAGACAAAGTACTTGGTATTACAAAGGTAATTAGACAAGTATTCAAATGTTCTAAATACCTGGGAAAACTCAAACAGGGCAGGCCATCGAGCATATAAGTCAACCACAGGTGGTTTCTGGATCACATCTTTACGACGCAGTGAGAAGGTGTTTGCCATCTTCTCATGAATTACTCTGTTGTTGTCTCTCTTCTTGTACTCATAGAGAAGTTCCCTCTCCTTTTCAAGGGATTCATCCGTTTCACCTTGAGGATGAGGTGGGAGATAGTTTACCTCAGATTTCTTTGCTTTTTTTTAAGTTTTTTGCTGCAGTTTTATCTGCAGCTGACTTTCTCTGTCAATTTTGACATAAATAGTGACCACATACGAAAGCTGGAGTCTTAAATCTTTCTAATATGATAGCTCAGTTTTTAAATTAAGTAAAATGTTCTAGGCAGTTAATAATTGTAAACAATAAGCTGGGGCTGTCAGCGATCTTTCTACTTAAGGGGGATAAATATAAAAATCTTACTCTATAACAAAAGGTCGACCTCGGCCCTTTCCATAATGTTGTCAGATACTTAGAATAATAATATGAGCATATCAGTGACATTTAAATTACTCAATTGCCCATAACGTAGACCATGTAAGACTGGGCCTAACGTTAATAGTTTCACGTCTGAAGACTGAAAAGGTCTAAGCTGAACCGATTTGAAATATTGTTGTTCCCATCAATCACTTAAAAACAAAGAAATATATGTATTAATTTTAAAGGATAAAATACAGCTAAACAATGTTATAGTCCTGCTCTAAAAATCCACATGCTTACGCTACATAACTTATTTTATTGCTGAATTCTAGCGTTAACTTTAAATTACAAAATAACAAACTATTGTATCCCCACTCGCAAAGTTTCAAATAATGCTAGGCTACTCGTAAGCAACATAACGTTAGCGATGCCCGCGCTAACACTAAAAAATCCACATACCGTTACAACAAACACAATCTTCAAATTACATTAAAAGCCTAATTTTTCTACAGCAATTTAAAAACTATGAAGAATTTACAAACTGAAGTACATTAAATATTTAACTAACTTCATTCTTACCTTAGGTTCAGTCCACATGTGCCTCTTCATTTGAAATGTAAGGGGTTTCCAGACCAACAAAACAGGAAGGGTATTCCGGGAAGGGGACATTTTTTGTACTGAGTAAATGAAACAAGGTATTGTTTGTTGTGTCTATGTACGTAAAAAGATTGGCTGGGATTACTTAGATTAATTTTGTAAGGGAAAAAAATGCACAATGTCTTTTGTTTTGAACAAACGCAGGTGAATTCAAAACTAAATATATTATGTAAAGATACAAACGTAACATTTTATTGTTAATATCACACATTTTGATTACATAACATTTACGTTCACTCAGATTTATTTTTCTCAGTGTGAACGGTCATCAGCTGAGGCCGACTGGGGTTCAAGGAAACAGAAGCAGAGATTTAAAAAAAAGACAGAATGAATCAAAATCATGTCCTCCAGCAGTCTAAGCCTATAGCAGCAGAACTATAGAGATAGCTCAGGAAATCTGAGCCACTCTAACTAGAAGCTTTATCAAAAAGGAAAGTTTTAAGCCTAGCCTTAAAAGTAGACAGGCTGTCTGTCTACCTGTAGGTGGATATAATTTGGTCTTTAAAAGTTTTTAAAAAAATCAGGGAAGGAACAAACAGAGCATGGCTAAAGGAGCGTTAGACTGGATCCATCAGTTGGCTTCCGCAAAACTTTGACGTTCATTTATCTGTTAATCTTTACAATGCAGAGGTCGAAAAATAAAGCAACTATTAAAAACATGGATCTCTTAATAAATGTTATATTAATGGGTCTCATTGAGTTGAAAGCAATTTCTCACACCAAGCATGCTTGTAGCGACAGTGGGGAGGAAAAACTCCCTTTTAACAGGAAGAAACCTCCAGCAGAACCAGGCTCAGTGTGAGCGGCCATCTGCTGAGGCCCACTGGGGTTCAAGGAGACAGAAGCAGACATAGAAAAGGCAACTTTTAAATTTAACTTTAATTTAAACAAACTTAAAGGAATAGTACACCCAAAACATGATTAGCCTTCATTTTCTACTCACCCCCATGCTGAACAACACTCTGGAGTACTTTTTTGATATCTCAAATGCATCTGGAGATCTGGGAGGCTTCTTGCTGTCTGCTGACATTCAAATAATGGAGGTCTATGGCGCCCGAGACAGAAAGGTCCATAAAAGTCCACAAAAAACGTGTCAATATTCCTCCATACTGCTCGTCCAATGTATTCCAAGTGTCCTGAGTGGGTAGCATCCAGAATTTACTCGAAAAGAAGTCATTTAGAATGTTTTTAGAGCATAAACAGTAGTGTATAGGATTTCCTAAAAGCACGTTCACGAGTCTACGGAAACCGCGGCAGACCAAACCAGATGAAAGTGCGCATTCAGCTCGGCAAAGAACTCATGCTCTTCCTCAACACTGAAGTCCTCAGACATTTTTCTTTCGTTGTTTCTTTCTTTGCACAGGTAAACAGCACATTTCTTCTTCTACGCTTGCATTATCGGCAGAGCAGACGCTGAATGCGCACTTTCATCTGGTTTGGTCTGCCGCGGTTTCCGTAGACTCGTGAACGCGCTTTTAGGAAATCCTATACACTACTGTTTATGCTCTAAAAACATTCTAAATGACTTCGTTTCGAGTAAATTCTGGATGCTATCCACTCAGGACACTTGGAATACATTGGACGAGCAGTATGGAGTAATATTGACACGTTTTTTGTGGACTTTTATGGACCCTTCTGCCTCGGGCGCCATAGACCTCCATTATTTGAATGTCAGCAGGCAGCAAGAAGCCTCCCAGATCTCCAGATGCATTTGAGATATCAAAAAAGTACTCCAGAGTGTTGTTCAGCATGGGGGTGAGTAGAAAATGAAGGCTAATCATGTTTTGGGTGTACTATTCCTTTAAGTTTGCAGCAGAACACGTCGTCTGCATTGTCAGGGGCAGCCTTGACTAGTTAAATGTACTTGTGTCACACGTTATTTTCACTTCTTGTTTTATTTTGTATTTGTATTCAGTTTATGCCACTTCACTTCCTGCAATCAGGATCTACCACACCTTGATGTGATTCACCTGGAGTCTGTGATCCTCCTGTGTTTGTTGGCCTATTTGTTTCTCAGTCATGCAGCTTACCTTCGCCAGTTCGTGTTTGTCCTTTCAGTCAAGCGTTTCAGCCCTTTTGGATTTGAAATTAGCCTTTTTTACGTATTTTTTTTTTTTATCCTTTTGGAACATTTCTCTGCCTCAGTTTTTGTTACTTCTGTTTGCTTTGGATCTTTGGCGTTTGACCCCAGTTTATTAAAAGAATCTTGAACTTTACTCCACTGTGTCAGGTCTTGCATTTGAGTCCTCTATTCCTGAGCCATTGATACTATTTTATAAAAGCCTTTTACTCATTTTAAGAGGGAATTATCTGTATTATCTGAGCCAACAGTCCTACTTTTGCTCTCCTCTGGTTCACACAGTGAAAATCCCCCCCTCCATCCACCCACTCGCTCATTGCACCATCTGTCAGATTCTTTTTAGACTAGACATCCAGCTGCAAGGGGGACCACTGTGTGTGTGTGTGTGTGTGTGGGAAGTGGGGGTTATTTTTGGATACTGTGTGTGTTCGTGTGGGGGTGGGTTTTTAAAAACCCGTTATCAGCTCATTTTCTCTGCGGTCCTTCTATAGATTCTTCCATATTTCTTTTTTTACTTAAAGTCTAGAGAAGAGTAGAAGTGTGCAGGGCTGTGGTTTCATAACTCAACACATTGTCAGTGATGTTATCAAGTTCTTTGTTATTGAGTTGCTTCTTGTCTTTAAAAGTAGCCACAGGACAGGCTGCAGAAGGGTTGTTATGGTACGTTTTATCTGTACTGCAACTATCAACAGACAAACTCAAGAGGGAAAAATCTAATAAAGAGACTTTAGACCATGGATTTTTTAATGCATCTCTGCTGCAACGTGATGGAAACAAACGCAAAATGACTGCTTTGGAGTGTGTTGAAGAAGGGATCCATTCAAAAGCTGCAAGACTCAGTGGTTCTCAAGAACCAATGCTGCCTACCCTTGATTTAGAAGAGCAGTGAGGAATTCTGTTTCCGGGCCGCTGGTATCCTGCATCATTTAGATCCATCTTTGGTCAAACACACCTGAATAAAATGGCCAAATTAATAGAAAGACCTCCTTAGGATGCAGTCAGTTACTCCAGAGTCCTCTCAATCATCTAATTGCTTGAGTCAGGTGGGTTAAATCAAAGGCATATCTAAGAGTTGCAGGATACCGGCCCTCAGGAACTGGAATTTCTACAATGGACAACTACGGCGGAAGGTTAATTGAGGATTGCAGTGTCTCACACTAATTGAGGATGTTTGGAAGGACAATCCGTCGAAGTTCTCGCGAGTTCTCAAATCAGCTCCCCCTTGGCGGGAAACTGCTGCACGTCCCTAGAAATTCCAGACCGATGGTGCAGAAGCATACCAGCAAAACTGGTTCGCGACCAGACCCAAGCGACATTTGGAAGAAGAATGTTTTCAAGAGGACTTAGATAATAGCGCGTTGTGAAGAAACACCAGATACAGCACTGGGACTTGATCAACAGCCGATACCGTACCATGACGTCACAAACCGGTAGGTGGCAGTAGTGTTCTTTGACAGACATGGATGCCTCCAGTGAAGCACATTCACATGAAAATTACTCTGAATTAAAAACACTGATCATTTAGTGAACAGGATGGAATAATTTTATATTTAAAGTCGTAGGGAAGAGGCTGTTCCAACCGTTGCATTTCCGAATTCTCCCGAGTGGTGCCCGACTTTACAGGAGTGAATAAAGTGAATGTGATTGGTCGATTATCAAGGGGGCGGAATTGTTGAGGCGGAAGGTTCACAAGCAGGTTTGATTGTGGCCGGTTTGTCGGTAGCATCTTGCTAACCAGTTAGCAACTTAGTGCTAGCAGGTTCCCAATGGGAAATTCCATTGGGACCAAGTAGCACTAAATTGGTGACCTAGAAACGACGCTGTCAAGGAACGCTATGGACAGCGGAAAAATGCAAGAGGAGGAGAGTTTAGTGTCGGAGGTCGTGGATGAGTCTCCTCCGTCATCCATTTTTTATTTAGAGGAGGAAAGCGGGGACGAAGATGTTGTGGAAGAGGACGCCAGGGCGGCAGAAGCTTGGTTTGGTGTAGAAGGCTTCCAGCCGTACATGTTTGAGCCCTTGCCTCGCAACGCTGCCAGTTCTGTTAGCACTACGCCTGCCGAAGACACAGACGTCCATCCCCGTGAACACTGGGACGCAACTCAACGGGAAAGGAAAGGATTCTGATTTCAACCATTGCGTATATTAGCTGCGACACATGAATCAAGATGCTATGACCGAAAAAATGTGATTGACAGATGACAGTTAAATTTATGTGTTCAGGCTGACGTATAACTAGTTAGCCTGCATATGAACCGGGAAAAAAACACAGATTTTTAAGACAGAAATTATCAAAAGAGTACATTTATATGCATGTTTTTCAGAAGTTGGAATTGTGAATATGACCAAACTTTTCCTTTAAAAGATGTTTTACTTGAGAAGTGTTCTCTCCCAATGTTTATGGAGATAAAGAGCAGGTTGACAGATTTAATTCCACATAGAGAGGTAGGTTTACTGGATGACTCTGCAACAGGCTGAAGTCAGTTAAATATTCTCTATGTCTGTAGGAGGCCAGGCGTGGCTGTAGAGGCCGGTGGGAACATGTATGCAGTAATAATGATACCTAAACGCTGAGGCTTGATGAGTTCCACATGATTCATGAACTGGCTGTATCTGGAAAGAAGACAAACGACAATACGCAGTGGAAGGCCGATGAGTCACGGGAGCTGAGTCCTGTCAACCACAGCCTTATCAGAGCAAACAAACAGGAAAGGAAAAGAACAGGTGAAAGAGGACTAGAGAGGCGCTAGTAAATCTGCACAGGTACACACCCAATTCATTAACATGTAGTTTATAAAAAAGTACTTACTTGTGCATTTAAACTTACATGTTTAATGGAATCAATTTCCAATGCGCTTTTCTGGTCAAACTGACCAAATTAAAACACTTCGTACAAGAGACACATCCTCTCAGCTGGACTACAAGACATGCAAGAAG